TGAAATAGAAAGTATTACATTTTGTTACAGTTTTGCTCTTCAGTGTACGTACATAGTACATACTTATTTACATTTGATCTAACCTAGGTATTTGTGTATTAGGCAGTTATTAGAATCCAGATCGGAGCTTTAAAACTATCAAATTCAAGTATACACAACTCTGGAATACTTGATTTGTAACTTTGACTTTTATTTTTGACTGAAAAAAAAATAAAACGCAACAATTACCGATTATTTTCTGCTCAAAAAAAATAAAAAGCAAATTTTTATTTTTATTTTGGCCTTAAAAAATAAAAAAGCAAAATTACCCGGTACTATTAGCTCAAAATAATAAAAGCCAAAAAATAACTTAAATTTTTTGCTTTTGATTATAAAATGCATAACCGGTACGATCTCTTGTATAGTTATGTAAGTAAGTATTAGCGCGAACGGTAAAAAAGGGAAAACGAACCGGAATTTACTCTTTACTTATACTAAGATCAGACGATCAGAGAGAGCTTTTTTTCTTTGTGCACGTCCTTATAAAAAGCTTTACAAAACTTGTTGCTGTTAAAAAATTAAATGCGGACTAAAATACAGTATTTCCAACTGGGTTTCTACTTAGAAAAAAATTCATTAAAAACTGGGACTTAGACTTGACTTGACTTACCTAGAAACTTAGACGCGAATATTTTACTTAGAAATCAAAAATCTATAGTTCTCCAAGTTTCTAAGTGAAGTTGTTTTTGTTTTGGGTAACTGCCCACACGCGCTGCTCATTTGCCAGAGATATAATTTTCAAGTCAAGTCAAGTCTAAGTCTTGCATAGCTGATCTTTAAAAACTGTTCCGATTTAATCATTAAGAAAACATTGAAACAGTTCAATATAATTTTAATTATTCCTTATATAAAAACAAAATCGTTTTGTAAATTTGTAACTTTGTACTCTCATATGGGTTTGTCAGCGATTTTTGACCTTGGCCTTCTTGCGAAAATTAATTGATCATGGAATTCGAAAAAATTATCTCATTAAATCAATGAGGTAGTTCACGCTTGCCTGGTTATCAGGTTATGTGGTTATTATTACTACCAATTTTTGGTTGTGATAAATAGCAACAAAAAAGAGTGATACCAAACAGGAAGTACATCCATACATACATATGTATGTATGTATGTAAATGAAGCAAGTAAAAATCATTCTGCATGCAAATATATGTGTACGAGTACATTTCCGAAATAAGAACACAACAACTTCAGAAATCATGTTCGAAATTTATTAAAGGCACGTTTCGACTATATATATGTACATATGTATGTAGGTACGTATGTATATGTCAGGGATGTTGCGAATAATTCGCATCATTTTACACATTCGCATTCGACATTCGCATCAAATGATACGAATGCATTGCGAATTCGGATGTGTACATGAACAGAGAGGCCACTCTAATATTGTTGGAATGGCTCTACGTCTGTCTAACCAGGGTACGAACAGTAACCGGCTTTTTGCTTCAGGCGCTAAACGGTTAAGTAGTATATCAAGCAGCATTGATGGGCCTCCAACAAATACTGCTAAAAGTCTTTGTAAGCAACCTAGAAATAATTTTAGATTCCTCCAGCGATAGCGAAGGCTCGTATGTAGAATCTGGGGGCATTAAAAAATGTGAACTTAAAGCTCAATAGAAGGCCTATCTTAAAGAAGAACGAGCTCATCTCGGTGAAAATCCTCTCGATTGGTGGAAAACTAAACTAAAATACGACCAATTGACAAATCTGGCCCGCAAATATTTGAGCGCTCCACCCGCCGGCGTTCCAAGTGAACAATTGTTCAGTGCAGCCGGCCTTATATACATACGAGCCTCTAAGAAATCGCATCATGGAAGAAACGGCAGCAAAATTACTTATTTTTAAATATAATATGCCAAACAAAATTTCTAAGTAATAAAAAAGTAATAAAACGATGACATAAGTTGATTATAGCTTTTTTAATTTTATTCCTAACATTCGCATTCCGAAAATTCGCATTAACATTCGCGACATCCCTAGTATATGTATATACGAAGCAGGTATATAATAGATACATACATGCAGACATACAAGTATATGTATACTTCGGAGTAAGACGTGCAACAACAACGTTGTTTGACTGAACTGAATTTCTATTTTTCAAGCTTCCGGCGAGGTTATTTTACCAAGTGCTTAAGTGTGCACATATGTATGAATGCATATTTGCAAGGGTTCAGGCCACGATTTTCTTCTAAATTGAGCTGAGCACCTAAATTTTGCCCTACAAATTACATTTTACTACAGAGCTCATCGGTTGTGGTATCTGCGCCGACTCTCTTAGCATCACAATGGATTAAGTATAGTCACTAAGGTAACTTACGACTACCATTCAAGCAGCGGACCTGCGTTCAAAGATGAAGAAGCGCGGGCGCTAACCATTATCGACCTGGCATGTTCAATACTGTTAACAGGAAGAGAAGAAAGAATTGCAATTATCAGATTTATTCCGGAATTATTCAGTAAAAGTCTAGTATGTAGGGTAGATTATTAAGACTCTTTCAACAACGATTCTACGGATACTGTATGGATCCTTATAAAAAAAAGTGTGGTACAGGATATCAAAAGCCTCAACAGGGTATTTTTTGAACTTGCAAAACTCGAAACAGCGATCGACAACGGAAAACTTACAAGAATTGGTAAGAGAAGGGGAAATTACAAGGCAATTTAGTAAAAATTATAGTACAGCTTATTCATGCCCAGAAAATTGGTTTGAAAGGATTAGCTCTGTTAGTTTTCGACGGGACTACATTTGAAATACCTCCAACAAGCGCAAACAAGTGAGCGGTATTTGGTTAAGCACTAATTTTAAAAGACGTTTGGTCCTAATCTTTCCAGCTTAGATGCATCATAGCTTTTCATTAATAAACTAGGAGCGAAAAGCTCCGTTAAAAAGTATTTTCAATAAAAGTTCAACTCAAAACAAAGCGAACCCTAATTCGCTTAATGCATGCTAATGAACGCAGATAGCCTTTCAACAAATTTTAAAATTTATTTTTAAATCTTTTATTGAGTAATAAATAAATTTTAAAGGTCATAAGCTTTGTTGCGCGCTTGAAATATTAAAAAAACAATGATTTGCATTGAGAGCCAGGCCGCAGTAACGAATTCACGTGCTTTTTTTGAGTTTCAAACGACCAATCCGTAGCCAGCGGCGCCCCTGTGTAACAGAGTAAAAATTATTATTTATTTATTTTTAATTTCAAACGCTGCAGTTATTGCAAAATAGTCTAATCTCCAGACACACATGCTGGCAGTCTATTTTTTTTTTCTTCAACAGCAGCACTCTGACGAGGGAAACGTGATGCTCAGAATACCCAGCAATCAGCATGTTTTTGTTTTTTTTTTTTAATATTTCAAGCACACGCAACTCATACATGTAGGTATATATGCCTAATGCGCGCATAGCAAGCACACATGCGCCTGTGTTTATGTAAAAATCCCGCTCGCTCGCTCGTTCGGCTGTCAAATCAATTATTTATAGATCCGCACACACCAACAAAGAATGACTAGCAGAAGCAGCGTTGTTTATGGGCCAGATTGATGCAAGTGTATACTAAGCAGGTTAAAAAGTTAATGTCTCATAACTGTACGTATTATCAATTGAAAAACAATATTTTTAATACATTGCATTTGTGAAGAAATTCATACTTGTATTTGCTTTATAAATAGCACTCATAACTTTTCCATGCGCGATAGTTCGCTGTTGATATTGTTGTCCTTGCCTGTGCAAAATTACGCCAACACCCCAGCACAGCACGTTTCGGCGCCGCATACGTCAGCGACTTAAACCGCCCATCAAGCGAGCTTCACGTGATTATTCAATATTCGTATATTGAACGGCAGCTAAGCCACGTGAACAGGCGATGTGCGTAAAGAGTATAGCGCGCGCGGTGGCGTCCACGGGATATGGCTGTGTATGTGTGGCGCGCCTCCTGTCAATCCCGGTCACAGCTTAGAAGACACATGCATACACTCTCACGCGCGCGCTGAAATGTTATTGCCGCTGTATCAGCGAACTGTTTACAAGCGCTTTGTCAACAGGCGAGTTTAGACAAGAAAAACGTGCGGCACTAAGACCCACTACAGCGGCGACGATTGCTAAATGCATGCTGAGCATTAGAACATTGAAAAAAGAAGAGCGCGCACACATACAAATGTAAATTTAGGAGCATCAGCGTGTTTTCATTTCGTTTATCAGCGCTTGCCTGCGTTCGGCGCCGCGTAAACAGCCAGCCTGTGATAGAAAGCAAAAAAAAACAATATCACAGGCAGTCCACTGGACTCATCCCGAAGGCAGCATTTCAACTGATAAGAAGCCGCGGCCAACCGAGCCTGAGTGCGTCGAGTCTATTGTCTGCTGATACGGCACGCGTTGCGAAGCGCACCGCTATAAGTAGCACTGTTAGCCGAGTAGCTGGGTCAGTGAGTGCCGAAACTGTAAGCAAAGTGAGCTGCTTAGAGCAGTGCAAAGTGCAAATAAAAATTCGCTGAATTTCAAAAGGATTTCAGAAAACGCGCACGCAGAACAGCTGCGTAACGGAAAGTCCATAGTTCGAAAAAAAAAACAAAAGCCAGAGGAAACTAATATTAAAATGTCTACATTAGGCGCGCCTCTTCTACTCTTAACAGCGGGTCTATTGGCGCTCAATCGAGCGCAAGGCTATGGTGAGTGCGAAACTGTACCTAATTTCTCGTCACATGTGCGCTATACACATTCAACGACAAATGTGACGCCAGAGCGCATTCAGCTTTTTCTCCTTCATACTCTCACATTTATTTATCTCCACTGACTTAATCATTTTCCTTTCTTACTCCTTTTCCACAGCCATACACCACGAAACTACCGAGCGTCGCATGCATCCAGTCTTCAATTTTAAGACAGCTGCGCCGCCACACACACTACAAAAACGCTCCATGCCATTCATTAAGTTCGACGCGCCCAGAACGGAAGAATACTCGTATTACTGGAATTCAATTGGCCAGTATATACTAGAGAAACAAATTGCTGAAAAGTCACAGCTGAATATGAATCTCGCCAAAAATATTATACTCTTTCTCGGCGACGGCATGTCCATACCAACCTTGACGGCGGGGCGCGTCTACTTGGGCGGCGAGGAGAAACAATACAGCTTCGAACGCTTTCCCTATGTAGGACTCAGTAAGGTAAGTTTCATGTAGTCAACTAATATACGAACGCAACACATACCGCGCCCGCACATCGTTGGTACTTTAGCTAACCTACTTCTTTTTTCGCCCCACAGACCTACTGCACGAACACGCAAGTCGCCGACTCCGCTTGCACAGCGACCGCTTATCTCGGCGGCGTCAAGACCAACTACGGCACCATCGGTGTATCCGCCGCCATTGAGCCGAACGATTGCCTAGGTCAGAACAATACACTTCACCACGTCACCTCAATTGCCGCCTGGGCCCAGCAACAAGGCATGGCGACTGGTCTAGTAACCACCACATCCGTTACGCACGCCTCCCCAGCTGGTGTCTACGCGCACATAGCCAATCGCAATTGGGAAAATGACGCGGAGGTGTTATCCGATAACGGTGATCCGTTGGTATGCACAGACATTGCTACGCAACTGGTGCACGGTGACGTCGGAAGCAAACTGAATGTAATTTTGGGTGGTGGGCGCAAGCACTTCCTGCCAAACACTGAGCGCGAGTTGGACGGCGAAATGGGTCAACGCTTGGATGGCCACAACTTGATTAAAGTATGGCAGACCATACACGGCAAGACGGCGCGTTATGTGCAGACACGCGACGAGCTATTGAATGTGAGTACTTGAAAACGCGAGCGTGGAGCGAACAAAACGCTAATAAATTCTGTTTTTTGTGTTCCCTTTTAGTTACCCACCTCCACCACACGTGTGCTAGGGCTCTTCGGCGCCAACCACATGCCCTTCCATCTTGACGCCGATGCCAAGCAAACACCTACGCTCGCCGAGATGACCTCAGTTGCCATAGACATACTGGAACGCCAAAGCAACGGCCGCGGTTTCTTCCTCTTCGTCGAGGGCGGTCGCATTGATCACGCACATCACGATACGCTCGCCATGAAAGCGCTGGACGAGACTGCCGAGTTCGATAAGGCCATCACTTTGGCGCACGCACGCACAAATGCAAGTGACACACTCACCGTCGTTACCTCCGACCACTCGCACACAATGTCCGTCGCTGGCTATTCATCGCGCAAGAACGATATTATTGGCGTGAATAATGGCCAGTTGGCTGATGATCAATTGCCATACGCCACGCTGAGCTACGCCAACGGGCCCGGTTTCGATTACAATGTGATGAAAGCGAATGGCGCAATTAAACGCAAGAATCTACACAAGATCAACATGAAGAACAAAGACTATCCATTCCCGTCGATGGTGCCGCTCGAGTCGGAAACGCACGGTGGCGACGATGTGGGCGTGTTTGCGAGCGGTCCCTTCGCGCATCTCTTCACCGGCAACTACGAACAAAATTTCCTGCCACATGCGATTGCCTATGCGGCGTGTCTACAGGATGACAGAAGTGCGAAGCGGACGGCGTGTACGGATGGGTTGTTGAGAGAGCGGATGTGAGGCGAAAGAGTCGAAAAGGAGGAGGAGTTTAAAAAAGGAGCACCTGATGCATTAAACTTGCTACAATATTCATTTGCATTTAATTAATTTATTGTATTTTTAAGACACATAACTGTAAATATGAAGATAAGTAGAAGCATGATTAATAGTCAATTTCCGGAAATAATGTACTTATTTATAATTTAAAATTAAAACTAGGAAATTTAAGTTAACAATTGGAAATTAAATATTAATTTCGCCTATTTAAGGAATGAAATGAATTGTTTTTTATTCAGGGCTGTCATGGAATCCAATTGTTGTCGGAATTGGATTTAAAAACGACAAAAAATTAGTTTGGTGTCATGAAATCCAATGTTATCGGTTTTATGATCGAATCGGAATTAGTGTCGATTTTAGGTGCCACAGAAACCAATAATATCGATTTTGGTATCGGAAACAAACCAAGCAGCTAACGGCTCTTGGATTTCATTTGTTTATTAGTTTTTCTTACTTCCAGTTGGACATTTTATAAAAATGTGAGTAAAAGGTTTATTTTATAAAAATAATTGTTAATGTATTCATATTTTTATTCATCACTTTTTATGCTTTCCAAAAATGTCTGGCGCTACTAACGTTCCATACGAATGAGTCATGGCTAGAGCCGGGATAGAGTGCATCGACCGCTCGAATTTTCATGTCACCATCACAAATCTAACTAAAAATGTACATGCATATATATAAATCAAGGCAATGTACGAGTAAAATGAAGATTCATGATTACTTACAATCAGGACATTCATACTGAAATATTTTCGATTATAAAATACATGTTCGTCAATACTGGGCTTAATGATTTTTATGTGTGTCCCGTCGATGCAACCAATTATTGAGGGAATTTTGTACTTTAAGTAAAAATAGTCTCTTGATCTGCGTTTTTCGATGCAGTCCATTTCTAGTTTCACCCACTGAGGGCAAATGAACCGCTCTATAACCTTAAGCACATCATCTAAAATCATTGACACCGCGCGCTTCTAGCTACACTTATGCTAGAATCGTTCCCGACTGATCTTTGATAGGATCCTTCAGCTAAAAATCGCAACGAAGATGCTAACTGCAGCACTGGTGGAACATTCGAACGTGTCAAGTGCCCTTCAATGGTGTCAAGTACCATTCGGAAAGTCTCTTTGTTTAGGCGATAATATGCTATGAAACTGCAAATACGCTATAAATATTTATAAACGCACATTAAAAAACAATCTACTTACGCTGTCTCGGGCAGCTCAAGTGGATCGCCGCAATCTCTCAAAATTTTTCTTTTAAACTTCTCGGAACTTTCTTCTTCCAATAACAGAAATGCGACAACTGCGGATGTCATTTTGCGCTCACTTATTTTTATTTAAATTAATGAAAACAATTCAATTTTAAAAAATTTAAAAAAAAAAATGTACATTCAAATTGCCGCCATATACACAAATGTGCAAAACAGCTGATTCGAACATCGGTTTTGTTTATGTTCGAAAAGAGCAAAACCAATCCGGTTTCATGACACCAAATGAAACCAATATTGGTTTGTAATTCCGACAAAAAGCAAAACCGACTTGGATCCATGACAGCCCTGATTGTTACGATTTTCGTCGTTCAACTAAAATCGACACGTGTAAATGACAATTCAACCGTTAAATCCTGCTTTGGCTAATCGATTTCCCTATCTAGCTAGTTCAGGGGCAAGAAGACGTTCATTGGCAAGTTTGAGGGCCATAAATGTTACCAAAGATATTGCGTGGATAATCTCTGTGAAATTTGAATTCGTGGGAAAGCAATTGACTAGCGAATATAAACTGCAGCGATCTGATCTAACCATTTAAATCTAGATCTCGCTCGCTAGCCCGTTATCTACCGAAAAATAGCCGATAAACCAGAAAATGCTTACCGGGTATGTTGCTCATTGGTCGACTATAAACTCGGGATGTTCGGGCATTGCTGAACTCGACATAGCGGAATCACGAATGCAAATCATTCAATATAGGGCAAGCTATTTTAGTATTGACCTTGGCCGTCTCAAGCACTTTTCAAAACAACCAATGAATATATTTGGAGAAAATAGACGATATAGGCACAGTTCCTCCTTGAAATCTCCTTTGACCAGACTCCATACACCTAAGTAAATATGAGACTTCTTCGTCTTATTGGGCTCCATCTCCGTTTTGCGAAGTTGCGCCGAGTTATAAAATGTTTCGCAAAATAACTTTCGTTCGTCCATAAGTCTAATTTATATATTATTTCAACGTCCAACATCTGCGGTACCCGAATATCATGTAAACGGGTTTTGCGCTGGCAGTTATGTCGATGCCCTATAAGCCTCCTTACTTTTGTCCGACATCGTCCACATCCGTGTGTCATAAAGAAAGATCATCATGATAAGGAGAGGTCTGCAGAGTATTTAATTCTTTTCAAAAGGCGTCATATTTCGTTCAGTTAACAGCTTTTAGGGCTAAAAAGTCCATTCCAGTCCTTCGAAGTTGAAGCTGACAACAGTACTATTAAATGATATACATGCAAATAAAGGCCTTTTGACTCCTTCCCTACGCCGGAAAAAGACCAACTGGCGCTTATATTGAGGATTCCTTCAACGCCAACCGATTGCTGGTTTTTTCCAAGTCGGTTTGGTTCGTGTTAACTGGAAAGATTCTTTCGACTATTTATGGCTCACTCATCCTCCCGATAACCGAGCCTTTGTGAATCATTTTACAAGTTTTCATTCGCATGAGATCACACACAATATTTTTAAAGCATTCTGACCAAACTCTAGCTAAATAGGAAGGAATAAGACAACCGACGACTACCGGCAGAAGGCATTTTTAAAGCCAATCTATTGAAGACCAGGCCAGGGCGTGGATTAAGAAATAGACCTATCGCATAAAGTAGACGGAAATAGGACATCGATTAGGAAATTTTGCGGCCGAGTAGATGAAGACGCAATAACGAGATGGTAAGGCAGGTTCTGAAATTCACTTTGCATTAAAATGGAATGGGGTTGAAATTCGTTCGGAAGCGAATATCAGAACCTGCATTATTATGTAATACATTATCTGTTCTTTCTAAGTCTGTCATTTTACCCAAGGCCCATTGAAGGTAAGATTATTATTTT